ACCCCGGAGGAGATGGTGGAGGCAGACACCTGGCCCTGGCCCTTGGCGGTCATGGCGGCCACCTCGATGGTGTAGGTGGTGAGCGCAGTGAGGCCCGTCACGCGGTATTCCAGGGTCACGTTGGGCAGGTAGTGTGTCACGCGTGTGTTGGTGCGGTTATACTCCTCCCAGGAGATCCGGTACCCTGGGGACCCCGGGCCGCGTGAGCTTGGCCATGGCCATGAGCTGGCCTGGACCCGCCGCCCTGCCCCTCATGCCTTCACATGTCCACAGAGAGCTCCGCACAGGAAGCCCTGGGACCGAGGCAGGCGGAGGCACCTGGCCCAGGGCCCCACGTGCTGCTTGTGGGGGTAGGGGGCACCCCCGTGGGCAGGGGCGGGGATGAGCAAGTCCTCCTGGTGGCCATGTGAGGGCTAGGGCTGAACATGGGGATGCATCACAGAGTGGAGGGGCCGTGCGCATTTTTTTAAAATCTGAGAGGCCTTTTATGAAGCTGGGGACACTGGAACAAGGAAGGGCTGGGGAAATGAGCCTAGGCTGGTCGGCTTGGCTCACGAAGAAGTCAGACTAGGGGGCCTCGGGGACAGTTTCAGGGGGTTTGCCCGGGACAACTGCCACTGCTCTTTGCTCCCCTGCTTGCAAGCCTCATGGGGTCCCTTAGAATCTAGGAGATGCATGCCTGTGGGGGAAGAAAGGGGTGGGGACTGTGGGTGTGCTCCTGGGAGGGAGGGCCAGCTCCTCCCCAGAGGGTGTTCTAAGCAGGAGTGGCTGCTGGGGGCTGGGGCTGGGCACCAGGGCGGAGGCAGAGGGATGGGCTAGGGGACCTTCTCCTCCCCCAGGCCCGTGACAGCGCGGTGCCTACCTGTGAGGATGCCGTTCTTCTCCCCCGGCTCTTGCCAGCTGACCTTCAGCGAGGTGTCCAGGATGTCACTGAAGCTCAGGTGCCCCACAGGCCCAGGCACTGTACCCCAAGAGGACCCCCACCCCACCCAAGGCCAGTTAGAGCCAGAGAGAGAGACCACCGTCTGCAAGACAGCCCGGGGTGTCCCGGGGCGCCCAGGATGGGAGAGGAGACCAGGCCGCCCTGTGCCTGGCCCCTGGTGGGCGGGCGGGGCAGAGGCTGCAGGGGCCGGGGGTGCCTACCGTCCTCCAGGGTGCGCACCAGCTGCGGGCTGCTGCGGGGCCCGTCCCCGGGGGTGGTGAAGCACAGCACGGACGTGAAGTACTCCGTGAACTTCTTCAGGCCCGACACGAAGCCCACGTGGATGCTGTCTTGAAAGTTGGGCCGGGCGGTCACCATGGTAACCTCCTCTTCCTGCTCCGGCTCCCAGGCGATCAGCTGGGGAGAGGCCGGCAAGGAAGGCAGGGGCGTCAGAAGGTTCCAGAAGAGGCTGGGCGTTCTCCCGCAGGCTGGGCTGATGGACAGGGAGTGTCCAGGAGCCCAGATCCCTGCGGTCGCTCCTCCCAGGGAACGGGTGGCCGAGCCGATACCCACAGGCCACCGGAGCCCGTGTCCCAGGAGCACGCTACGGTGGGCCACTCCGCTCACGGGTGACGGCGCGGCACCGCGAGTCACGATGGCTTTGCAGATCCCACAGCGACCCCACCAGAGAGTGGGCTGATGTTTTACCAAGATGAGCTACGTGGTCGGTAGGTCTGGTGCACAATGAAGATGGAGGCCCCCTCATGCAAAAATCATTAAGAATTTCAAGATGACGGCAGCAGAGCACTGAACCAGGCCTGGGGTCCTTCTGAGCGTGGAGCCCTGAGCCACCCAGGAAGCCGGCCCTGCTTTTTACAGACGAGGAAACTGAGGCTCAGAGAGGCTCAGTGACTGACTCTGTATCACACAGCAAAGTAGAGAGATGAGGTCTCTAATTCCAACACCTGGCCTCCTACACTTTCTCCCTCTGGGCTGGGCGGCTGCTCCCTTGGGGTTTTCCTGAATTTGGAGCCGGAACGTTGGTTCGAGGTTAACTCTTATTCTTTAAACTTGTCCCAAGTTGGGATTTCAGTCTTAACCATGCCCCAGAGATGGGCACCAGCAGGAAATCCCGTGGAAATTCAACATCTCTTTTTGTCTCATCTCCCCTCTGCAAGCACCACCCATGGCTGCGTAAGCTTCCTGCCTCCCCTTCCTCCTCTTCTTGCCCCTTTATAAAAAGATTAGAAAAAAAAAAAATCCTCATCTGAGGATATGTCTACTGGTTTGAGAGAGAAAGAGAGGGAGAGAGAGAGAAACATCGATGTGAGAGAAACATGGATTGGTTGCCCCCTATGTATGCCCTGACCGGGGATTGAACCGTAACCTTTTAGTGAGCAGGATGATACTCCAAGCAACTGAGCCGGAAGCATCAATGATGAGAGAGAATCATCGATAGGCTGTCTCCTGCACACACCCTTCTGGGGATTGAGCCTGCAACCTGGGCATGTGCCTTGACCGGGAATCGAACTGTGACCTCCTGGCTCACAGGGCCTCCCGGCTCCTAGGTCGACACTCAGCCTCTGAGCCACACCACCCGGCTCTTCCTGTCTCTCGATCCCTCACCTCACACTCCCGTCTTCTGGGTCCTTCCTCTGTCTCCAGCCTGACAACTGGTCTTAGAGATTCCCTCATTTATTTGAAGTTGATTAAACAGCAATTAATGGTGAAAAGCAACACTCGATGGGTTTTAATAAGCGCGGGTATTTATAGATCTAAAACAATACCCTGCCGACGCCTCCTGATTAACGCCGGCCGTCACATGCTTCATCTTCTCCTCTCACGGACACCTGCTTATTCAGGACGTTTGGAAATCTAATCGCTATTGTGAAAAGATAGCCTATGGCAAGCTAATTAGACACTAATTAGACCCTAAAAATACTAATCAGAAACCCTAAGTGGCATTTAATAAGTATGTTAAATATCTTCTTTATTTCAGTTATCTTGTTTCATAGCAATTAAATCGCTGAACTTCTGCGGAGTAGATTAAGAAACAAGTTTAATGTTTTAATTTAATTAATGTAAATTTGAATTACGCCATCGGAATGAATTGTGTGGTGTGTTCCCCAGTGGATGCAGAATCTGGGTAAATATCATTGTATTGGGTTTAGGCCAGTTACACTTACTACCATTAAAACAACTAAGGACAGTCCTGGCCGGTTTGGCTCAGCGGAAAGAGCATCGGCCTGGGGATTGAAGGGTCCCGGGTTCGACTCAGGCCAAGGACACGTACCTTGGCTGCAGGCACGATCCCAGGCCCTGGGCGGGGCGTGTGCAAAGGCAACCAGTCAATGTGTCTCTCTCACATCAATATTTCTGTCTCTCTATCTCCCTCCACTCTCTCTAAACATCAATGGGAAAATACCCTCAGTTGAGGATTAACAAAATAATAAAAAATGAAGACTGACTACAGCAAAGACACAAAGGACAAAGGGTGTCTTCACAGGCGCCTTGAAACAGTGCCCCGAGGGACTGTCTCAGAAGGAGCCCAGAAGGAGGGCGGAGGGTCCTGGCAGCGTGGTTTGAGGTCACGGCAATGACCCCAGGCCCGAAGCCCACGATGGTGGCAAGACCGTGGTTGTGTCAAACTGTTTACGCTGGGACTTGAGCCACGGGTCCTTCTCCAGCTGCATCTGAAGACCAGGAGGGTCAGGTGGAGAGGCCTCAAGGTCCTTTAAGCCAGAAAACACTGCCACTGCCCCGGGCACCTTCTCTTGGGCTCTGGGCAGCGGTGGGTGGGACCGCGGGCCCAGCACACACACAGGCTACAGCCTGCTGGGCAGTCTCTCTGGGCCTGGCCCCGGGCCCAGGCCATCACTGACCCACCCCATCTCATCAGCACAGCGAGGCCTCGATGGGAACCGCTGTCGCGTGCTGTGACCGAAAGGGAAACGGAGGCTCAGGATGGTTGGGGAACCTGCATGGGATCCCACCGGGGTCTGGCCTCAGATCTGTGGACCCGAGACCTTGGGTGAAGACCACTGAGGGGCACACGGCGGCCGGCTGAGTGTTAGGGGCCCCTTGGCGCCTCTGTGCCGCTCCCGCTAGCTCAGGCTCACAGCTGATTCACCCCAGTAGGCCTTGGTCTTGGACTCTAAGCAGACCTGGCTGCCCCGAGCATGGCTGGGGCGAGTGTGTGCTGGGGGGTGTGGGGGCGGGGAGCATCACACCTAGATTCTGGGACAGGCAAGTCCCCCTTAGGGAGCAGCGGTCCAGGGAGGTCACCCTCTAACCAAAGGGTGTGTGTGTGTGTGTGTGTGTGTGTGTGTGTGTAGGGAGGGCAGCATGTGCAGCCAAAGCAGAGAGAAAGCCGGAGAGAGCCCAGTTCTGTCACTTACTGTGTGACCCTGGGAGAGTCACTCAACCTCTCTGGGCCTCAGGCTACTATTGGGGACAGTAATAGCTAGCTGGTGGAAGCAGTGCATGATGGAGTTGAAAGTTAGGATAGATGGCTACTGGAGTTAAAAAAAGAGAAAAAGTCAGGGACATTCTCTCTTTCCTTTCCTTTGCCTTTCCCTCTCTCCGTCTGACTCGGCATTTGATGAATTCCCATGAAACATTCTGGGACGTTAGAAATGAACAACGGTTCCCTGGAGTGGGGAGAGTTCTGGGGTGGGTGGCCTAGAACCAGGCAGACGAGGGGCTGGAGTGGGATGTAGGGCAGCTGCTACAGGGTCATCCCTTTACATCTGTTGGTGTTTGAATCATGTACATTTATTTCTTGTTAAAAATTAGTATAAAGAGTTAAAAACTATACTGGGGAATTTGGCAATAGTAGCAAAATTATCTACATATTTATCCTCTGACCAAGCTATCTTATTTCTTAGAATCCACTCCTACGTTAGATGTGAAAACATGAAATGATGTTTGCACAAAGCTACTCACTGCAAGAAGGTTTGTTAAGCCAAAGACTGGAAACCCAGAAATGTTTGCAGTGGGGAGCCAGTGGACTAGACTATGGGATCCTATATAATAAAGAGCTTATATGCTAATTAGACTGAACAGCAGAACGATCGACCGTCCAGAGACCTTCTGGATGAAGCCGGGGCTGTGAGGGCCGAATTTCATGCATTGAGCCTCTAGTATTTACACATGGAGTTGGGTGCAGTTGTACAGGAAGGAACAAGGAATAGCTCCATATACTCCTACAGGGTGGTCTCGGGACGTAACGCACACAAAAAAGCAAGATTGAGAAAGTGTGTGGAGTTCGCTGTCATTTATCCAGAAGGGAGAGGATATACTTTACCCATATATGTATGCACTTGCTTATGTTAAAAAAAACACACCCTCACAGGAAAAAGGAAAAAACAAAAAGAAATCAAACCTCTGACGGAGGGAGAGGCCCGGAATTCAGGCTGATTTCCCCTGAACTGACTACTTTGCTCTGTAGATTTAACTGTGGAGCCTGTACATAGGCTACATAATTACAAAATGAAATGAAATTAAAAGAAGTCAATCCCTAAACATCGAAAACCACAGTGAAACCGACGAGCCTGACCGTGCGCTAAGGAGTCGCACCACGTCACACGGTGAGAGACTGTACCAGGGGACCCAGCCGCTCGTGGGGGGAAGTCCACCACTCGGGGTGCCCTCTGCGCTCGGAGAGCACCGTGAGCGACAGAAACCGAGTTCAGCAATGGAAGTGCTGCGGTGCCCCTTCCGAGGCTGTGGCGGGCGTTTGGGGGACAGCATGCGGGGACTGGACGAGAGACCCACGAGAGTATGAAGACGCCCTGGAACTGAACTGGACCCTAAAATCAGCAACACACACCACAGCATTTCCTCGTGTCCAGGCACAGGGCTTGGAACAGCGCCCAGGGCTGGAGCGAGGGCACCCGGTGCCCAGACTGTGGCATCTAACTCCCACTTCTGCTAAGGGAACAAGACACCTGGAAGACACAGCTGCCCCCCGGCACGGCCTAGGAAATGTAGATAGCATGGGACGTCTTGTCATACGGACGGCAAGGAAGCTATCGAAGACTAGTGGGCACCATGTCTAAAGGATTCATGAGGGCCCTAGCTGGTGTGGCTCAGTGGATAGAGCACCAGCCTGCAGACAGAAGGGTCCTGGGTTCGATTCCGGTTAAGGGCACATGCAGGGTTGCAGGCGCAATCCCCAGTAGGGGGCGTGCAGGAGGCAGCCGATTAATAATTCTCTTTCATCATTGATGTTTCTCTCCCTCCCTCTCTCTCTCTCTATTTCTCTCTCTCCCTTCCTCTCCGATGTCAATAACAAAATATATATTAAAAAAGAAAAGAAAAAAGATTCATGAGTCAACCTGAAGAGGCCAATGACGGGTCAATTTGGCATCACTAAGAATTATTATGGCACCTGGCTGGCGTGGCTCAGCGGTTGAGAGTTGACCTATGAACCAAGAGGTCATGGTTCGATTCCCGATCAGGGCACATGCCCTGGTTTCTGGGCTTGATCCCCAGTGTGGGGCGTGCGGGAGGCAGCCGATCAATGATTCTCTCTTATCATTGATGTTTCTCTTTCTCTTTTCCTTCCTCTCTGAAATCAATAAAAAATATATTTAAAAAAAGAATTATAATGGCAGTGAAATGAGACATATCAGAGGTGTTTCTAAGAATTCTTAAGTATATAATACTACTACCCAAATCAAAGCAAAACAAACAGATGCCTCCCTACCCCAATCCAAAGTCACCTGTCCCCTTACCAGTTGCTAGGGAACCAGTTCATTATTCTGAAAATTGCTCAGTAATGGGAGAGAGCGGAGTGTTTACCTTGCTTTTCCTGGATGAACGTTGCCTTTGGATAAACAACAAGTGGGAAGGAGAAAATTCTTTAAAAAAAAAAAAGATTTCAGCTAATCAATCAAGACAAAATCCTAACAGTGGACTGTCCCAATTTGGCAAGTCCTATTGAAATGACAGATCACGCCAGGCCCGTCAGTGGGCGCCACGCCACAGTAAGAGCAGCCGCACGTCTTGCCTTCTAATAAAAATACACCATCCAGGGAGCAATCCTGGGAAAATAAAACCCTCAGACCCGAATCTGATCAAGCCTCTCATTCCAAGTCCAATTTACGGCAAAGATAGTTTTCAGAGGCCTGTGTTAAATGACCCCCCAGGGGCACAATCAGCAAGATCCAGACTGTGGGAAATTCTATGGTACAAAGGACGGAGATTCTTAACTCAATAAATTGCTAGAAAAAAAAGAAAAGAAAAGAAAAGAGAGAGGAATCTGTAGATCAACGGAGACCTACACTCC